CCCACAAAACCCAGCTCAAATATTACCTCCTCTGTAAACACATTTCTCTATTTCTCCCTAAATCATGCCCTCCTCTATTTATACCTTTCAAAGTCCTCCAGCCCTGCCAATTCACCTTTATTTTAGTGCTTGCCATATTGAGGTCAGCTATCCATCGACATCTATTGTCTGGACTCTAGATCCTCAGTGTTTTATATTTTATTACCGACATCTGAGCACAGGTTCTGCTTCATACTAAGCCCTTGATGAGTGTTTGTACTGTGCTAAAGGGTTTCCCCATCAGTCCTCTGGTCTGTGTCTGTTGCCCAAGGCATCTGGTTCCCTGGAATTCTCTACACTGAGGCAACAGGAAGCAGAGAGGGAACCCTGGGGCTTTCTCCTTTATTATTGGTCATAACCGTCCAACTCAAAATAAATTCTGGAACACCTCTAGTCCCCAGGCTTATCATACCATCAAAGGGTGTTTGATGTTGTCAGTTTAAGTGATAAGAAATTGCACTTAAAAAAGTAACTTCGTTGCACCAGGTGGATAGTAGACAGGCAACACCAGGAAGAGAGCCGAGTAGTGGAAAACCCAGGCCACCCACACCAGCTTCTGAACGACCCCGCGCATGTCAGCAAACTGAGACTGCTTTTGTCACACGGAATGTCCAGATGCATGTGAGTGGACTGATGTTAGGTTGTTCTGGAGGAAGACCCAGCGATAAGAAGATCGTCAGGGTTTGTTTTGTTTTTTTTGTGGGTTTTTGGTGGCTGGCTGGTCTGGGGGTCCAAATGAACCTTTGACCTTGGTGTCATCAGCACTATGCTCTAACCAAGTAAGCTAACTGGCCAGGCCCCAAGATTGTCATTTATGGCACTGAAAAGATGAATTTTCAAATTTTAAACAGTATCTCACACTTGAGGTACAGGGATGCATCTACACTGAGAATAAAAGCAATGAAGAGAAAAAAAGGAACTTTTTCAACCTAGATCTAGATTGTTCTACCCATAATGTACTTAAGGCAGTGATAAGCACATGTCTACATTACTTGAGTTCTCTAACAGTCTGGCTAGAAAAAAAAAATCTGACAAAAAAAGGATGAAGCAGAAAGTTTTTAAAAATTCAGTTAGGAAAATTGGAAATCCATGAAAGTCCATCTGAAATCAGCTGGAGACTTGAGACCTATTCTGCTTAAGTCAATGGAACATAATGCAATATGAGTGAAATGCAGTGATCGTAAAGTGGATCCAAAGTTCCTACTAAATTGTATAAACATCTGTATAAAACAGGCTTTCTGTGGTTGTCCCCATCACCAAAAGAAAAATTGGATTTTTATAAATTCCCTTATTTTCCTAATTAAATAACTTCCACTTCAAACAGTTCATTTTCATTTATAAGGAGAGTGATTTCCCAATTGATATTTAGTCAGAACAGGTGCTATTATGCTCACGACTCTCAAGCTATTGGGATCTCTACACCTGGATGCCAGACTAATGGGAAGGCATCTTCTCTCTGTGCCACCTGCCTTCACTATCTGAAGCACACTTCAAAGCTTCTCGGTATATTTTGCNTCTCTGTGCCACCTGCCTTCACTATCTGAAGCACACTTCAAAGCTTCTCGGTATATTTTGCCGCTCATTCGTTTTTGGCATGCCCAACAGCAGTGTGGGCCAGTGTGACTCATTCTTTCTTTGGGCATAATTCCCTGTGGAAACAGATCTTAGAACAGACTCTCCCCAACCCCAGAGGCTTTCTGAAGGTGAGAAATGCAGGTGATCGTGGTAGGTTGCCTTCAGAACCGACATCCTGCTCCTCGGCTGGCCCTTTGAACTAACCTTGATATGTGATAATTGAGAGGCATCCAAGCCCTGGAGGAGTATCCTGCCTCCTCTCCGTCTATTGAGCCCCGTTTTGAACTATTGATCAAACAGAGTTGAAGGGATCTGTTGAAACCTGCTGGGGGAGGAAGGAAGGAAACCGAGAGAGAGGGGGCCACACCTTGCTATAAAGCGCTCCAGAAGGCACCTGCCGTCAGACGTCGCTCAGACTCAAAGCCTGCAGGATGGGCGCGGCGGTGCTGCGGGGGCTCTGCGGCCTCCTCTGCGGTCCGCCGGGCGCGCCGGTCCTGGACGTCGACTCCG